TATCTAGTTTAGTCATCTAAAATCAGTTGCATAAATTTTAATGAAAAAAACATTCTCGCCGAAGCAGCGCTGCATTACAAAAAAGAAGAAATCTTTATTCAATAAAATGCAACACTCTGCATCCGCCGAAGTGCAACGTAAAATCAAGGTCGCCGAAGTGCAACATGAAATCAAGGTCGCCGAAGTGCGATGTAAATCAAGACCAGCAATGACTTTCTTGAAGAACTATCCTTAACAGGCCAAGCTCAAATTATAGAAGACACTCTCGACGAGCTGACGCTTATTGCACCAATTTTGCTTCATGAAGTCCGCCTACCTGATTTGCAATCAGTCTCGCCGAACTGGGGGGGGGGCTTACTGTTAGAGGGGAAATGAGCATATTTCCTAAAAGGCTTTCTCTAGCAATAATCTAAGCCCATCAAGACTAAGATAATCACTCCGACTTGTGGATTAAGGAAGAATATTTAAAGATAATGATAAATCTCCGAAAAATTAAGAAAAGAAGAAGTTTTCCTAAACGGAAAAGGAAAAATATTCCTAAATAAAAAAAGGGAAACGAGGTCAAAGAAACCGACCTCGCCTTCTTATAAATAGAGAGCTTCTCATAAGTTGAAGAGGATCAGAAAACGGGATGAAAACCCGATCTAAAGCAACCACCAAAAAATCTACAATCTAGAGAGAAGACCTAATTCTCTCTAGATTTCTACTGTCCAAACACTTCGCAACCGAATTATGAATGGCTTGATCCCTTTGCAAGGGTACGTAGGCAGCCTATCTTAAAGGTCCAGCTATAACTTGATAAAAACTTCAAGTAGTTCATCTTTTCGATGACATAATCTCCGAACTCCAATTTGATATTCTCTTAAACCCACAACCGTTAATCACAAACCCTAGTGGTAATTTTCTGGTTCAACAATTAACTATGCAATGCTTCTATGGTTCGAAATGTCAATACGTCATGTGCGTCGCATGAAACATACAAACACACAATTTACACGCACGCCTATCTATTCAAGCGTGTGAAGGGAGGTCGAAGGTGGAGTAACGTATTCTCTACAATATTCACAAGTCGTTAAAGTATCTACTTCCATGTCACTGCATTTAAAAGTTGTGAACTATATTTAGAAACAACACTATACTTTTAAAATCTCCTAGAATTTCGTAAATCTAATTCTTATTACCTCTTACTAGTGTTTTCCCCACGCTACGCGTGGATTGTATAGTTATATTGTAGTTTTATAAAAGGTTGTCAATTAATTTTGTGTTTAATATTGTGATAAATTATAGAATAGTATATTTGCATGTGTTTCTTAGATATAATCGAGCGAAGTAAGTATCAGAAGGATGTATATATATGTGAAAAAATGATCGAAATTTTTGTATAATAATTTGAAAGTAGATTAATATACCTTTTGGCTTAGTTAAACTTTTTTTTAAGAGTTAATGCATGTTTTTGAAAATATGAAGGATAAAGTTTGACATTTTTGTATAATAATTTAATTTGTAATTTTGTTATATTTTTTGTTTATGTAAATAGTATCCACATGAACTATATATTATATTATAAATATATTGTCTAAATTTGGACATCTTATGTTATAATGCTATTTCTTTAGTGAACACCATGAGTATTTTTTTATACTTTCAAAAATATTTTGCAAAAGCTTCCTTTTCGCTTGATGCTTTTAAAAAGAAAAACTCAATCCTTACTCCATTTTTGTTTCATATTGTGTATTAGGATTTTGTTTTTAATTTTTATATAGTATGCATTTCTCTACTTATCAATTTTTTAAGATTCAGTATATACATAGATGTTTTATAATTAGTTCATATATTCAACGAAGAAAACAAATGGTAATTAATAATAAATTTTTTATTATATAAGTTCTTTATTGATTGATATAATATTTGTTTGATAATTTAGCTAGCTCAATCATTTGCCAATATTGGTGAAGAGTGTGGAATTTATCGTTATATGTTATTTGAAAAAAAAATCTTTTCACTTTTATGTTTCATGAAATTTTGCAAATAAAAATTAAGAAACGGTGAGTAACTGTCTTTAATCACTGGTTCTTTAGTTAGCTTTTTACTTCAGTTTTTCTACAATATCGGATTACAACGAACAATATGGAACTCTATATCAGTTTTAGAAACTTGAAATCTGTTACAAGTCAAAAAGTTACAATTTTATAAATTAATTTTCTCTAGACAAAAGAAAACTGAGTCGCTCTTTAAGTTTTACTTTTGGCGAGAAAGACGTTCTCCAGTTCCAACAATACTATGATTTATACTCATTCTACTTGATTCACATTATAAATATAAATGCAAAACATTTGTGAGATTGTATTTTTATGTTGCTTACAACAATCTCAAGCATGAGACACATTAGACTTCATTTGTGATAGAGTTGTGTATTATTTATATCATATGTGGCTCATAGCTATGTCTTTTTTTTTTTGACATCCTCATCGCTATGTCTTTTGGATTTCCAAATATTTATGCTCCACTTATTTAAGTTTTATTGTTTATCACCAGTTTGGTTGTCATTAATTAATAACTAAAATTTGTGTTTAGTGACGGCTGATTCTGTTTCTAGTGAGTCAGAGGCGAGATGATTGGAAACCGAGAAGACGATGACTCCATAAAATAAGCTTTTGTTTAAGCTTTATAATTGAGTTTTAGTGTAATTCGTTTTCAGTTTTTTTTTAGCTTTGTTTTTTTATTGAGAATTTAAGAATTATAAAAGTTTTTTTAGGTAAAATTTGAAGAAATTTTGATTAATAAATTATTTAATAAAATGGCTTTAATTATTGGTTGGAGAAGATGACATAGCAGTTTTGAAACCTACCATTGGTTAATTATTTTTGTTGATGTGGCATATTGTCTTATTCTTATTGGTTAGTCTTTTTATAATTTAACGATGTGGCAATTTGTTAAATTCTTATTGGCTAATTATTTTTGCCTATGTGGCACCCCTTAGAGAGCAGGAAATTTATCTTTTTGATATAAAAGAGACTAGTGTTTTGCCCACGCTACGCGTAGGTTATATAGTTATATTATAGTTTTATAAAAGATTGTCAATTAATTTTGTGTTTAATATTGTGATAAATTATAGAGTAGTATATTTGCATGTGATTCTTAGATATAATCGAGCGAAGTAAGTATCAGAAGGATGTATATATATATGTGAAAAGATGATCGAAATTTTTGTATAATAATTTGAAAGTAGATTAATATACCTTTTGGATTAGTTAAACTTTTTTTTTAAAAGTTAATGCATGTTTTTGCAAATATGAAGGGTAAAGTTTGACATTTTTGTATAATAATTTGATTTGTAATTTTGTTATATTTTTTGTTTATGTAAATAGTATCCACATGAACTATATATTATAGTAGAAATATATTGTCTAAATTTGGACATCTTATGTTATAATGCTATTTCTTTAGTGAACACCATGCGTATTTTTTTATACTTTCAAAATATTTTGCATAAGCTTCTCTTTCGCTTGGTGCTTTTAAAAAGAAAAACTCAATCTTTACTCCATTTTCGTTTCATATTGTGTATTAGGATTTTGTTTTTAATTTTCATGTAGTATGCATTTCTCTACTTATCAATTTTTTAAGATTCAGTATGTACGTAGATGTTTTATAATTATTTCATATATTCAACGAAGAAAACAAATAGCAATTAATAATAAACTTTTTTATTATATGAGTTCTTTATTGATTGATATAATATTTGTTTGATAGTTTAGCTAGCTCAATCATTTGCCAATATTGGTGAAGAGTGTAGAATTTATCGTTATATGTTATTTGAAAAAAAAATATTTTCAGTTTTATGTTTCATGAAATTTTGCAAATAAAAATTAAGAAACGGTGAGTAACTGTCTTTAATCAGCGGTTCTTTAGTTAGGTTTTTACTTCAGTTTTTCTACAATATCGGATTACAACGAACAATATGGAACTCTATATCAGTTTTAGAAACTTGAAATCTGTTATAAGTCAAAAAGTTACAATTGTATAAATTAATTTTCTCTAGACGAAAGAAAACTGAGTTGCTCCTTAAGTTTTACTTTTGGCGAGAAAGATGTTCTTCAGTTCCAACAATACTATGATTCAGACTCATTCTACTTGATTTCACATTATAAATATAAATGCAAAACAGTTGTGAGATTATATTTTTATGTTGTTTACAACAATCTCAAGCATGAGAAACATTAGACTTCATTTATGATAGAGTTGTGTATTATTTATACCATATGTGGCTAATCGCTATATCTTTTTTTTTTTACATCCTCATTGCTATGTCTTTTGGATTTCCAAATATTTATGCTCCACTTATTTAAGTTTTATTGTTTATCACCCGTTTGGTTGTTATTAATTAATAAGTAAAATTTGTGTTTAGTGACGGCTGATTCCGTTTCTGGTGAGTCAAAGACGAGATGATTGAAAACCGAGAAGACGATGACTCCATAAAATAAGCTTTTGTTTAAGCTTTATAATTAAGTTTTAGTGTAATTCGTTTTCAGTTTTTTTTAGCTTTGTTTTTTAATTGAGAATTTAAGAATTATAAAAGCTTTTTTAGGTAAAATTTGAAGAAATTTTGATTAATAAATTATTTAATAAAATGGCTTTAAATTATTGGTTGGAGAAGATGACATAGCAGTTTTGAAATCTACCATTGGTTAATTATTTTTGCTGATGTGGTATATTGTCTTATTCTTATTGGTTAGTTTTTTTTATAATTTAACGATGTGGTAATTTGTTAAATTCTTATTGGTTGATTATTTTTATCTTATGGCACTTCTTAGAGAGCAAAAAATTTATCCTTTTTATATAAAGGAGATTTATTGTAATTGACCGGAGTTCGCAATTGGCAAACCTAAACAAAAGATTGTAAATCAATTGAATCAATTTTTTTGTACTTATGCTTTTTGTAATAAATGGTCATCCTATGTAGACAACTTTGGATCGATGATGTTGATCACACATTAGAATAATTAAATAAATAAAATACTGATTAGATTTACATGCAGCGCACGAAGTGTCTGCTGCAAGAAAATCCCATGGCTAACAACTGCGATTTCTTTCTCTGGTCTCTCCCATAACCTACATGTATATATGATGATATATACTTGGATTTGTGTTTATGAAGATGTTAAATCTAACATTTCAGCCACGGTATTGTCTATGAAAAATCTTAGTTTTGAAACGGCCATTGGAATAATTTTGAAATATGAAAAATCAATTAATAAACGTAGTGATTTTTTTTTTCTTATTTAAATGTTAGCTTTGTGTTTTTTTGTTTGTTTGTCAACTGGTTTATTGTTTCAAATAATTAAAATTGTGTAAGTACTCCAAAGAAAATAAAGTTATTGTAGTCACCGTTTGACAAAGATAAGGCCTCTAGTGGAAACCTCTTCTAGGTTTTCCCTTTCCTCGGCTTGCCATAGAGCATCTTCATCACTCTCTATCTATAGTCAAATGAAAAAAAAATATCTTAAAAATTGAAAATAAAAACAAGTTCATTTGAACTTCTAAAGAATGTAGTGAGATTATCTACCATTGTAAAGTCGATCTCTGAGAAACAAGTGCGATAGGTACTTATGCTTTTTCTACGATCACATGGATATAATCCCTGCGAAATATTGAACAATCAGAGTGCATAGTTATTAATTTTGGAACATATATATAGTAATCTTTTCCAAAGTTTTGGGACATAAAATCATTCGTTACTCCGAGAAAGTCTAAGCTCTCAAGTTCAGAGAATGACTTATATAGCACTGTTTTTTTTTTTTTTTTGAAAAAGGGTTTACTATGCATTAAATAAGAAAAAAAAAAGATGGCATCAGCCCAGCTTAGGTATATTGTTTTTCGAGGATAGCCCATTACAGAAGAGAAACTCATTAAAAGCAGCCCAATAAAGAATAAAGAGAGAAAAGATCATAATTTTGAACCCAAAACGAAAGGAGGAAAATGAGACGACATGCAATTTGAGAGAAAAGCCAGTCGAGACTTCGCCAAGCTTGGTAACGCCGAGAAATCAATCGAAGCAATTGGCAAGCTAAAAACCAGTGGGGAAATGGTGAATGAGAGATTACGGGGCTGTAGAAAACCAATGTTGCATCATTTCTGAGTGAAACACTTGGTTTGAAGAACGAAGGCTTGAGATACGATTCCTAATCATGGAGTCAATTAAAGAAATCAGGGAGTCTGGAGATCTGAATTTTTGACGATGGAGGCGATGATTTCGCTCTGTCCATAGAGTGTAGATTGTTGATTGCCAAGACAGAAGGACAAGCCGCTTAAAGACCTTTGATCCTGAGAGGTTTTGCATAGCTAGTAAGCACAACATCCAAGTACGAGGTGAGTTGAACCTGCATCTCTGAGCGATCGAGTTCCAGATCTGCCAAGAGAAGTTACACTCGAAGAGAATATGGTCATGACTCTCTGGATATAAGTTGCAAAGGAGGCAATGAGGAGGCGAGTTTAATCCCCATGACAGTAAACGATCTCGAGTGGGGCAGCGATTCAAAAGGAAAAACCAACAAAGAAAGCTGTGGCGAGGGATTCCCCATTTGATCCAGATCACCTTCCACCAGGTCACTTGAGGCGAAAGATTCCTTAGAATATCGTATATTAAACCTGTCGGATACAGATGCAGAGTTAAGTTATTTATCTCCCATTCATAGTAATCCTCATTTGTTGTTAAGTTGAGCATCGTGAGATGAGCTTGAACCAGAACTTGGTTATCTGAACGTGCAGGTGGCAATCTCCAGAGACCATCACGATACAAGTCATCCAGAGTTGCCTCTAGAGGAATACCCATCCTTGATCCGTTGGCAGACACAATAAAGTCCTGCAGTTTGCCGAAAGGAGACCAATTATCCCACCAGAAGCTATAGGTTTTTCCATTCTCCACTCTCATTTTAATTCAAGTATAACACAAGTCTTTTGATTTCATAATTTTGTTTGCCATCCATGAGAAACCCCTTCGTTGTTTAAATTTCCAGTAATTGCTTAACCGACCGAGGAGGACTTCCTTGCGATACCAAGCAACCCAGATTGACCCTGATTGAATGAATAACAGCCACACAAGCTTGAGCATACACGCTGTATTCCAAGTGGTAAGATTTCTGATCCCTAGACTTCCTTCTGATTTCGGTTTTGTTACTGCTTCCCAGGCCACACGAGCTGAATGATGTCCTTCACAAGTTCCTTTCCACAAGAAAGCACTACACATAGAATTAATCTTCTCGATGACTTTTTTGGGCAGAACAAATGAAGACCACCAGAAGTTAGAGATCCCCGCTATAACCGTATTGATGAGAAGCAGCCTACCCGCAAAGGAAAGAGACCTTGCAGACCAAGATGTAAGTCGACCTTTCACTTGATGAAATAGTGGTTCACAATTCGAAATCGAGAGCTTTTTAGTGCACAGGAGCACTCCAAGATATCAGACAGGGAGATTTCCATGAGTTAAGCCTGTGGAGAAGCTTATAAGAGAGATTTCATCTGATGAAAGACCAGCTGTGAAGAAACTAGTCTTGGAGCGACTTACAACCAAACCAGACATCTTCTCAAATTTGTTTAAGATTTGTAGGACACACTGGACTGAATCAACCGAGCCGTCAATGAATATGAGCAAGTCATCCGCGAAGCACAGGTGAGTCAACTTAGTGCTTTCACATTTGTAGTGGTACTTAAAAGAACCCTCCTGAGCAGCCTTGTTCAACATTAGAGAAAGACAGTTCATAACAATGACGAATAGATAAGGTGACAAAGGGTCTCCCTGTCTTAATCCTCTCTTTCCCTTGAAATAGCCTTGTACTCTTCCATTGTACCCTATCGTGAAACTCGGAGTACACATACATGCTTCCACCCATCGAATGAATTGTTCTGGAACTTGAATCGCTCGTAAAACAGTTAGGACAAACTCCCATCTTACTGAGTCAAAGGCTTTGGCTATATCCACCTTAATTGTAATGCGTTTCTTACCCTCCTCCTTGTGATAACCGCTTACAATTTCAGCTGCAAGGATGGTATTCTCGACAAGAAGTCTGTCTTTTACAAAGGCGGTTTGATTAGGGAGAATGAGCGACGGAAGGATTGGCTTCAACCTACGGACCAACAGTCTGGAAACCACTTTGTAGAGAGTGTTCAGGCAAGAGATAGGCCTATAATCTCCCAGCGAAGAAGCTCCAGGAAACTTGGGGACAAGCGTGAGGGTGGTAGAATTTGTGGTCGCTGGCATAAACCCCGAGATGAAGAAGTGAGTAATGGAGCGAGTGACTTCAGGTCCCACAATTGACCAAGCAGAGCGGTAAAAGCCAGAGGTAACCGTCAGGCCCCGGGGCCTTTTGAGGATTGAGCTTAAATAAAGTTCTAGTTATTTCCTCCATTGTCGGGATTGCTAACATAATGGAGTTGTGATCTGCAGAGCAATTATAATCCAACAGAGATTGAGTCCAGGAAAGATCAACTTGTAGAGGCGAGAGAACCGAAGGAGCCAGGATGGACGTGAAATGAGCAATAGCATGAGCACTCATCGCTGAGGGATCAAGGATAAGGACACCTGAAGCAAGAGAGAAGGATCTGATCGTATTGCCACTTGTTCTCACTTGGAAGACCCTGTGGAAGTAGGAAGTATTTAGGTCTCCCTCTTTGAGCCAATTCACTCTTGATTTCTGCCTGAAATACGCTTCTTCGATTAATCTCAGAAAACTCTAATTTCGATGACACTCTCTCTCTTGTTGGAAAAGGAGAGGTGAAGGAGATTGAAGCGCTTGAAGTTGGATGGCCTGGAGATTCTGGTGGGCCTCTAAAACTCTTATCTGAATCTGGGAAAAAATTTCTCTGTGTAACAACGTTAAAGCACTCTTGATCCGTTTTTAGCTTCCAACACAGGTTCGATAGGTCAAAGACCGGAGCAGCAGCCTGAGTCCAAGCCTCCTCAACGACTGAAAACAAGTGAGGATGTTTGGTAAGATAGTTAAAAAACTTGAAAGGTTTTGTACCGACCAAGGGGAGCTGAAATGAGAGGTCTATGATACAAGAGCTGTGATCTGAGACATCCGGGGCTTGGAAAGAAGCGAATCTATTGGGGAAAGCTGTGATCCAGAGACTGTTAACTAGAAGTCTGTCTAGTTTTTCAGCAATAGGCGCAGCAGGCTGCTTATTACTCCAGGTGAAGAAAGAGCCCTGAAACCGCAGATCAAATAACCCAACTTGCAGTAAGCAATCTCTGAAGTCAGTCATGCCGGTATTTGTGGAATTCACAGCAGGAGAGGAGTGCTCATTAAGGTGAAGAATTTGATTAAAATCTCCACCAATCATCCAAGGTATAGAGTCCAGCGAGAGAGTATTATGAAGATCTGACAATTCAACCCACAGGTCAGATCTTTCGTCACTTTGATTTGAAGCATATACTGCAGTGAAATAGAACCTCTGAAGAGAAGGAATTTGAACTTCACAGGTTATAGCTTGGCGAGACTGGTGAATTACCAAAATATTTACTGGAGGCTTCCAGATGAGGATGATTCTTCCGTCCAAGTCAGATAAGTGATTGGATGTAAAGGACCAGCCTATACACACTTTTGACATAATGAGGTTCAAACTATGATCTTTTACGTGACTTTCTAATATTGCACCAAAAAGAGGCCGATGGCTGTTAAGCCAATTACAAAAAGGCTGATGTTTAGCCGGGTCATTTAGACCACGGACATTCCAAAAAAAAACTCCTAATATCCATTTATAGAGATTTCAGGGCCCCTTCCGCAGAGGAGAGAGGACCATCCAAACTAGAAGACAAGTCATCTGAATTCACAACCACAGCAAGTCGAGATCGAGGGGCCGAGGAGCCAGCAAGAGAAGAAGAAGAAGCAAACAGGGGTTTGCAAGGCAAGGGACGCTGAGGTTTATACTTCTTTGGAATATGATTTGGGTCATGCTCATAAGGAGGACTATGAGGATAAGGAGTGCCAGCGGGAGTAATAGTCGCAGGGAGGCCAACAACAAAATCCACTGGGAAGGAGACTTCCATGCCGCCTGAGGATTTCCGGTGGAGGATCATGAACCTTGTCTTTTAAGACTAAGGGCTTCAATGTGTCAGAATCCACATTACAGCTTTCCGGTGAGAATATGTTGGATTCATTAACATCAGTTCCATGGGCAACATGTTGATTAATGGTTGCCGCAACAGCCACCTCATCCAAAGCTCCCACTGTATAAGCTGCTTGCATCGTATCCTTCTGATTTAGAACTGTAACAGTTTCGTAAGCTATAGAAGTCTGTATATTAGCCAAATCTTCAGATACAGGGATTGCTGAACCATCAGTAGCAGAGACCGTATAGTCTGTAACAGCACTCACAGAACCATCAATATCATGAACCTTAACCATTGACTCAGAGACAACCACCACAGAATCCAGAGTTTGTGAAGCGGTTGAGTCTTCCAGAACCAGACTTGATAAATCTCGGGATAAAGTATTCGATGAGGGGGGAGAGCCAGCATCAGTATTCATTGTATTAGTAGTTGGGATTGGAATCGATGATCCCTTTGAAGCTTCTGAGGCTCTGACCGTAGCCCTAACTCGAGCTTCATGAGTAGCTGGCTTTGGAAGGGGCCCGGAAGGAGGCAGTTGCAAGCAGTTTTTTGCAATATGACCAACCTCTTTGCAATGGGAGCAGGTTGCCGGTATCCAAGGATAGTCAACTTCAACCTTAACGACCTGTCCTGTGGATCTGACCAACTCAAGTGTACGAGGGAGAGGTTTCGATAGGTCAGCCTCCACCTTTACATGAGACATGACCAGGTTCACAAGATTCATGGTGAAATCATCTGTTTCTTTGGGTTCACCAATCATACCCGCTACCCATCCTAACCCTTCAAGGGTTCGCAGATCAAGGGGAACCCCTCTCAAGTGAGCCCAGATGGGAAAAGAGGCTAGAGCCGGCGAGGCATCACTCTGAGTAGAAGGCTATTGTTGGGCGAGGAACATAGAGTCACCAACATACCAAAACCTTTTCTCAAGGACCTTGCAGCGGATATAATCATTAGGTATCCTTACCAACATTGAGTTTGAAAGGGGATTCCTATGGGTTTCCAGTTTTCTGCCTTTACCCCACATGTGATTTAACACATTCTGAATTTGCTTGTAGGGAGGAGCTCTTCCACAGAAGAAGCAAATGATAAAATCCTTATGTTGATCTGCCCCTCTCTGGAACACTTTCTCAGGGATCACAACACGAGGTATTCCCGTCTCTCCTAGAACCTGCGGACCTTGTCTTTTCAAAGTCCTGTCAGCTGAGAATCTCAATCTCTCGGCCAAGTTTGGAGTCGGTTGAGTAATATGTTCCTTTGCAGGTAGAGAAGGCGGATTGTGAGGATGAGAGGAGGTGTTTCCAGTAGAAGTAGTACCTGAAATTGAAGCTTCCGTCGACTTTGATGGGGGTGTTGGTAAAGGTAGAATTGCATGACCAACTGTAGAAGCATGGTTAGTGTAAAGAGGAGACGTAGCTTTTGGTGGGGCTACAGTGAATTTCGGCTCAACAGTACTTTTAGATCTAGAATTTTCAGATCCAAAATTCTGAACAACTGTAACCGTAGTAGTGGTTTGAGTCATCTCGACATCAGTAGTAGAAGGACAAAAAGATACAGCTGGAACAGAGAGAGCAGACACAGGAAGGAGGAACAATTTGTGAAGCTAACTTTGATTGCTGGATCAGTAAGAGAGGAGATAGAGGAGGGTAATCCGACAGAGAAAGACCAGAATCTGGAGGATCAGGGTCAGGACGACGAGCTGAACTTCCACCAGTGGTGAAAGACGGAAGGAGATGGCCGGAGCTGGGCCACGGCCAAGAGAGAACCATTTGTTCTGCATTGGTAATCGGGACAGAGAGAGTTTGTCCGCTATAGCACTGTTCCATTGTATCTTTTCATATTTCCTAGAGAAAAGAAATGAATAATACAATGCGTTCTCTACAAATCTCAAGTGCTACAATTGGAGGGAAGTTGTGAGCTTTTGGAAGGTTTTCGGATTGATTTATTGCTTCTTGCAATTGTCCCCTAAATATTCCAGTTGAAGTTTGCATTGTCCTGAATTTGAATGGATAGTGTTATACTATTATGGGGTCAAACGAGACCAATCCGCTCATTTTACTCGTTTTGTAGTGGATTAAGGTATTATGTCGATTTCGACAACTTTCTCGTCAAAAAGAACTACACTGTCCTAGAAATATTTAACCCCCCCATGTTTGAGTTTTGTGGGTCAATCCTCTGATTTTTAATAAGAATATTTTTAAATTCGATTATATATATTATGATATATTATAATTAATTTTCAAAATAAAGTATTAGTTGATGAATTCGATATGAAAAATCATAAACATCAATATTTAATTTTTATTAAATCACATAACGTAGGTCGGTCCGCTCTGCACCGGGGGTTTAATTAGCCCGTTTGAGACAGTTGTTCGCAGTACATGACCAGACGGTTTATGTCCAACCCGCGGCCTTGCGGTCCGAATGTATAAGAAAGTCTTTACGATATATGACAATTAACAATTAATTGATGAACAAGCAACGACTTGTCTGGTAAAACCTTGAGGACCATACCAACAAACAACCTACGATCGAGGTTTAAGTTACGTACCGAACAGATCAAATATGACAAATTACTGTAATGTGAATGTTAGATATACCTAATCTTAGACGTGTCATTTAATTTCATTGATATCGATGTTTACGGTTTACCAATTCCTTTAACCTGAAATCTACGTCTTGGAAGCTTCTATCCGAAAATACCGGACAAAAAAAAAAGAAACGGTAGGTGTAGAGTACCTGTGCAGAGGAGAGGTAATCACTAACTCGATAGTGTTTAGTAATCCTGATTCAAGGATTTGCTTGCGCAGTTCAGAAACCTGCGCAACGATCAAGTCTCATATTTATAAACAATACCAGAGTGCATCTCAAGGTATCAAACCCTAATATAGAAGTAGTCATCTCACCTGTTGGAGACCCTTCGTAGAGAGCTGGGCATCAAAAAGGTTTTCTGATAAAGGAGTCACTTCCTTCGCTTCTAATTGTACATTATGGACTCCTTGTGCATGTCTCACCTTTATCCATTTCCTGTCCAATACACATTAGAATATATATTTGTCCCTTTACCTTTGCTTGCTATCTCAAAATCAAGCTAAGAATTTGTTTGTAACAATTGCTAAATTTCCATCCCTTTATCAATATGTGAAAATTCGGAATTTATAAACTGTTGGTATTATATACATAAAGTTCTACATTTTAACCTTTCAGTTTTTTTTTACAGAGTTATGATCGCTCTTAATACTATCTGAATGTGTTTTATGGCCAGTGGATGAATATCAGATCAAACTTCATACTTATTTTTGAAGTTTAACTATTATATAGGCCAAATGATGGATGATGATTATTGTTAGAGTAATATATGCAAATATACGATAGTTAATGTATTCCGTGTGTATCAAGTGTAAATCTTCAATTACAGATCTGATATGATCTCATATGTAATCTGTATATATTGTGACCATGGTAATACAAGGGGATCATCGAGCTCTATTCCAACTTACATGGTAGCAGAGCCTTTCAAATTCTCTTATCGATCCTCCTAATTAATCTTTTGCTTCTCTCTCTATTCATCCTGTTCTGCTTCTCTTTCTTCTCTGCAACTCTCCCCTTCGTCCTTCCTTCTTTCTCTCATTCTCCATGGCGAATCCCACCACCACCACAACACCATCCGAGAAACCATTCGGAATTTCTCAAATCAAGGCATACATCCCTGTTGTTCTTAACATGAACAAGTTCAATTATGACTTGTGGCGTGAGTTGTTCGAAACACACTGCTCCACCTTTAGTGTTCTCGAACACATTGATGGAAGTGCAAATCCATCACCTGTAGTTGAGCAAGCTTGGAAGGAGCGTGACGGTCTGGTTAAGATGTGGATCTATGGCACCTTATCTGAATCGTTGCTCGACACCGTCATCAAAGCCAAGTGTACGGCTCGTGAACTATGGATTTCAATTGAAAATCTCTTCCGCGACAACAAGGAGGCTCGGGCGTTACAATTTGACCACGAACTGCGCACTTCAACGATTGGTGACATGAGTGTTCATGAGTACTGCAAGAAACTGAAAACTCTTTCAGATCTTCTAGCCAACATGGATTCCCCCGTTAGTGATCGTGTTCTCGTCATGCATCTCTTGAATGGTCTCTCTGATAAATTTGATAACATTCTCAATGTTATCAAACACAAAGATCCTTTCCCGACATTCTCTACAGCTCGCTCTATGCTTCTCCTTGAGGAAGATCGTCTCGCTAAACAGATCAAGCCCCACATAAGCAATAACAACAATAGCTCCTCTGCTCCCAATGTACTCTACACGGCAACGGAGTCATCCCTGCAGCAGCGACATCAACAGCGAGTTCAACCACAGAGCCGTGGATACAACAACAGAGGACGTGGTAACAGAAACAACAGAGGGAGGGGGCGCTACAATAACTCATGGAACAATTCGTATGCTCCACCTCCATGGGCGTACGGACCACCACAATGGCAATTGCCTTACGGATACTCTCCCTACTCTTCTCCATCATCATATCCGATGCCCCCGGCTTACTCGCCGCAGCACCGCTCGCCAACTCCGACAAGTATTCTTGGACCTGCTCCGCATGCACGATCGCACAACGAGGCTCATATGCTACAAACACCAACGTCTGCAACCTACGCTGCCCCTACTCCTGCTTCACCGTATCTACCTGCAGAGTTAACTCACGCCCTCAACACCATGACGCTGCAGGATCCAAGTGACAGCTCGTGGTACATGGACACCGGTGCAACAAACCACATCACCGCAAACTCAGGTACCCTCTGTTCTGTCTTTAATACTAGCGCTTATCCTCCGGTGACAGTCGGTAATGGATCCTCTGCTCCTGTTACCAAGCTTGGCAGTGGTATACTTCCATCTTCCTCTCGTCCTTTACTTCTCAAAAATGTCCTTGTTTGCCCATCAATTATAAAAAATTTGGTCTCTGTTCGTCAGTTTGCTATTGACAACAAATGTTCCATCGAGTTTGACCCATTTGGTTTTCTTGTTAAGGACCTTTGAACCAAGACACCTCTGCTCCGATGTGACAGTTCTGGGCCTCTCTATGCGGTAACTCCTAACATCAAAATTCTGCCACCGCATGCTCTCGTCACGTCATCCTCCTCTGGTGCTCTCTGGCATCGTCGGTTGGGTCATCCGTGCAACTCTGTTCTTCAATCTCTTGCTTCTTCTGGGATTTTTAATTTTAATAAGGCCGACTTGACATCACTGTGTCATGCGTGCCAAGTTGGAAAACACTCTCGTCTACCCTTCTTTTCATCTACTTCAGTTATTTCTAAACCCTTTGAAATTGTTCACTCGGATATCTGGACATCACCAATATCGAGTCTTGGAGGAATAAAATTCTATGTTATCTTTCTTGATCAATTCTCTAACTTCGTTTGGGCTTATCCTCTCAGGCGCAAAAGTGAAACGCTTGGGAAATATCTATATTTTTCAGCCTATGTGCGTACCCAATTTGGCTGTAACATTCAATCGTTTCAATGCGATAATGGTGGAGAATTCAACAATCGCCAATTCCTTAATCACCTTGCATCTGAAGGTACGCAAATTCGATTCTCATGTCCGTACACCTCACAACAAAACGGACGTGCAGAACGAATGCTTCGTACAATTAATAATCTGGTTCGAACTATTCTCTTTCAAGCTCACATGAAACCAGAATTCTGGGTTGAGGCACTCAATACAGCTGTTCACATCCTAAATATTCTTCCCTCTAAATCTATTCTCAATGACACTCCTTACACAAAATTGTTTCACAAACCTGCATCATATGCTCATTTACGGGTCTTTGGTTGTCTTTGTTACCCTAATCTTCTTCCTCAATCACAGCATAAGCTTGCTCCACGGTCAGCGGAATGTATCTTCCTTGGATACCCCAATGACCATCGTGGATACAGATGCTTTGATCTCACCACTCGGCGAATTATCTTCTCTCGCCATGTCCATTTTGATGAAAATACTTTCCCCTTTCAAACAGCTTTGCCTCCCCCCTCTTTCCCACAAGATCCGTCTCCTCTCCTTCCACCACCAATTCCTCGTAATCCTATCGTTACACCACAAATTCCTCTTCTCCCTCCCATTCCAGCTGTTGAGGCCCCTCCTCCGCCTCCTCCCCTGCCTCCCCCAACATTACCTAAGCCTAAAATGGTAACTCGAAGCCAACATGGTATTGTTAAACCAGTTAATCGGCTTTGTCTCCATACAAGCGTTGTGTCTCCTTTGCCTCTGACACATGTTCAAGCAGCAAATGATCCTTACTGGAATGGCGCTATGGGAGTTGAACATAGCGCTCTTATTAAAGCTGGAACGTGGGACCTGGTTCCGCGGCCTGTTGCTACTAATATTGTTCGATCTATGTGGCTTTTCAGGCATAAGTTTGGACCAGATGGGAAGCTTGTCCGCAATAAGGCGAGACTTGTAGCTAACGGTAAATCACAGCAAGTTGGTGTCGACTGTGAGGAGACATTTAGTCCTGTTGTTAAGCCGGCCACTGTTCGATCTGTTCTTCACGTTGCTCTCGCCAAAGACTGGCCGCTACACCAACTTGATGTCAAAAACGCTTTTCTTCACGGTGATCTTGAGGAAACGGTATACATGCATCAGCCACCCGGCTTTGTGGATAAGATGAAGCCCGATCATGTTTGTCGGCTTAAACGCTCACTCTACGGCTTAAAGCAAGCTCCCCGTGCATGGAACCATCGCTTTGCAACTTTTGTCAAGAAGCTTGGGTTCGTTCAAGCCCTGTCTGATCCATCGCTCTTCGTCTATTGCCACAACAAGCAGCTTGCGTACTTGCTTCTCTACGTCGACGACATTGTTCTCACTGCATGCACAACATCTCTCCTCAACAACATTATCGAATCTCTTGCAAAAGAGTTCGAAATGTCTGATTTGGGAAAGCTACACTACTTCCTTGGCATCTCAGTTACAAGGACCAACAGCAGTCTCTTCCTGCAGCAGCAAAACTATGCTGCAGATATCCTCCATCGCTCTAACATGATAGATTGCAACCCCTGCTCCACACCAGTTGACACGAAGACAAAGCTCACTCCTAACGGTGAACCAGTCTCTGATCCAACGCTATATCGAAGTCTCGCAGGTGCATTGCAGTATCTTACTTCACTCGGCCAGATATAGCATATGCCGTGCAGCAAATTTGTCTGTTTATGCATGATCCCAGGCAACCACATTTCAACGCTCTGAAACGTATCTCGCGATATGTGAAGGGCACAATCTCCCATGGTCTCCACATACATCGATCTCACAGCGATAAACTAACAGCATACTCTGATGCAGATTGGGCGGGTTGTCCCTCCACTCGTCGCTCAACATCTGGTTTTGGCGTCTTTCTTGGCGACAGTCTTATATCATGGTCTTCTAAGCGACAGGCTACTGTCTCACGCTCAAGTGCTGAAGCTGAATACCGAGGAGTTGCGAATGCTGTTGCTGAAGCTGCATGGTTGCGTAATCTGCTCACTGAAATGCATTGTCCACTATCAAAGGCAACGGTAGTATTCTGTGACAATATAAGCGCTGTTTACTTATCGTCCAATCCAGTCAAGCACCAAAGAACAAAGCATGTGGAGATCGATATTCACTTTGTTAGGGAACGAGTGGCTCTCGGCCAAGTAAGAGTTCTTCATGTTCCCTCATCCCTTCAATATGCAGATATCTTTACAAAAAGACTACCAACTCAGCTCTTTGTGGACTTCAGGACCAGTCTCAACGTCCGGGAACCTCCCGATGTGACTGAGGGGGCGTGTTAGAGTAATATATGTAAATATACGATAGTTAATGTATTCCGTGTGTATCAAGTGTAAATCTTCAATTACAGATCTGATATGATCTCATATGTAATCTGTATATATTGTGACCATGGTAATACAAGGGGATCATCGAGCTCTATTCCAACTTACAATTATATTGACGTACCATTATATATATATACTTGGTTACCAGTTGAGTTATATTAATACTATATGCTATATTTTTCGTTAGTGGGTTTTGATTGTTTGTTTGCGTTTGCTTAAAAAGGTCTCCGAAAGCAAGCTAACCCTCATTTAGGGTAATTAAGCAAACGGGTTGAAATAATTAAGTGTACTAACCAAGTGGAGGGTTTTGGAATTAGGCGATGAAAGGCGCTGCGTCTGAACTCCACATAAATCCATGTATGTACGTACTCGCCTCTCTCGACGACCTCTTTACCCACTATTTACAAAACCATTATCATGATTCTTCCTTATCCTTCTTCTTGCTCTTCCTTTCCTTGCCTGTTTATGTTATTCGTGCAATTCAAGTTTAAATTGGCTCTTTAACTATTAATTGAAACCGTAAATCTCTCGTCAACGCTTCATGCCGTGTTCTTTGGGAGTGGCTGAGTGGGTGGGTATAGCTAACTTACACCATTCGTTTGATATCCATTTTCCGTATTTTACATAGAGATCACTTTATATATAAAGAAAGTTGTGGGAAACCCAATATTGGGAATCACACATATATTTACACCGTAGAAAGTAGATAGTGTTTTCACCACCTTTTTTTTAACAAAATTGATATTTTTTAACCATAATGCCATGTGGTTTCATAAAATATAAGATTAAACCCATGTGAAATAGTTTTAAGTTGATTTGATATCCTTACTATATATATAGCACTAATTAATGTTAGAAAATTATATAAAACATATCGCATATCTAAATAAATATACCACTAGCTTTTTTAAAAACCATCTTCAATTTTCTTCTCACAAAAACAATCAATTTATCTTTTTGCTTACAGGTTGCAAACTACATAAGAAAAACGTCTTCTACACTTCATTGACGACATCTCATACACGATACAAACTGAAAAAAAAACAAGAGGCGGCGACTATATAAATCTCTTTGTAACCAATAGGTCTTTGTTTAATTATAAATATCATATCTTATATAGTTTAATCAATACTCTCTCTGTTTCAGAAAAAGTGTCATTTTGACACTTTTCAAACATATTAAGAAACTTAATAAAAAGTCTTTTCTATCTTTCATAAATACACTAAACAGTTTTCTCTTTTTAATTAATACACTAAAATAACAAGGTTAGAATTGAATTTTTAATTAAAAATTTACATTTGAAAATACAAAACGACACTTTTTGTGAAACAAAAATAAAACTGTAAAACGACATTCTTTATGAAACGGAAGGAGTATCATTTATCTAATACAGTTCCCAATAAATTTCAGAAAACGACTAGTAAATGAGCTAGCTAGGGGTTCACGCAAATATAGAAAAATCTCAAACTTTGACAATATTAAGCTTCAAGAATGAAACAATAAAATAAATAATACTCCAATTTCTTCAATGTTGATATTAATTAAGACTCCATAAACTCTTTGAAACTTTCTCCGAGGAATCATTTCTCCGTAGAAGAAGTCAGGCTGAAAAGTAAAAACACAACAACACTAATGAAAGGTCAAGAAATGGATGACAATATATAATTAAGTAAATTAATTAAGATCATCATACTAACCCTTTGTCTACAATCACGATAGTACGAATTCGCAATTACCAAACCTGTATTATTATTGATCAAAAGATCATATTGCACGAAGAATTAACACGTTGGTCCATATTGCAAAAATTAAACATAAATTAAAGTATAACTTCTTGCAAATTTCATGTCTAATTGACTCGTCACAATCGTTTGCGAACAACATATGCTGCAAAACTATGCCATGGCTAACAACTGCGACCTCCTTCTCTGGTCTCTTCCATAGCCTAGTCATAGAAAATGCATCAACTCTCTAACAATATATGCTAATGTAATTTATGATACTTCACAAAGTTAAGATTCGTATTAAGGTTACCATTTCATGAACTCTAGCCCTCTCGCCAAAGCCTCTTCTTCAGATTCTCGAACATCGGGTCTCCATAGGTTGTCCTCTTCACTTTCAATCTATAATATGATATATTATATTAGAGAACTCTCTATATGTATCTTTAATATAGGTTGAGAAAGCTTTATATATATTATATTTTTTCCAAGAATATGATCTACAATGAAGGAAAAGTGAAAGGAGGTCCTTACCTGGGAGAAATCAATGGTGGGGAAAAGAGATTGATACTCGCTCACGTTTCTTCTCATACAAACTCCCTGCGTGTACATATATATCCATATTATTTACTTTAAATTTGCGATATTTCGGTAACATGCGTTTGTTTTAATCGCTGATGAATATATCATACATTACGGTCTCTAGCAACCTCAAGTGCCAAAATGGGAGGGCTGCTTGTCATATTTGGTTGCTCATGTTCATTTCCAAATACTCCAAACGCGGTTTAATTTGCATAGTATTCTATATAAACCAAAAACTTAACCAGTCCAAGTCCCATAAAATAATCAATTCAAAAGTCTTCATTGCTTCTATGCAATTATATATTACCTCAACAAGGGAGAAATTACAACTAGCTCAACCCTCTCTAGTAGCCCGCTTGAAACAATGTGTTCGCAGAGGTTTTCAACCTTTTAAAGATTATATCATTAAACAATTAGAATGAAATAATATAACAGCAATATGTTAGTTTCTAGTGGGAGCCTACTTAGGAAATCATCATATACCTGTCTGATTTGATTTATCTGATACTTAGCTCTGCTCTTTGTTTCTTTAACCAGAATCTCCCAGCCATCTCGCTCCCAAGCTAGCCTATGTTCAACATTCCCAACACTTGTTAATTTTTCCCTTAGCAGGTTCTCTGTTGGTGTAGGAGTGCTCCATTTAGCAGCCTTAAACATTCTCTTTGGAAAATACTCCTCAAGCCCTTTCTCCTTACTCAACTTAAGACCAATTACCAAAACTTCTTGCTATGTTAGAGAAAAGTGAGGAACCTCAGGAAATGATAGGTTTGTTGCGCCTAGGCGATACATTGCATCCCATGTGCATTGATCGGGTAGAACAGACCCTATACAGGCGGAATTTACTCAGAGTTCTGTTTATGAAAATGTTTAAACTAACATTTCTGCATTAGACTTGACTAAAAAATGAATCATACATCGAGTTTGTTGATTCTAATTAGTAAAAGGGCATTGGAATAATTAGTAAAGCAGGTCTCTATAGTTTATTCTAAAATAAATATCATATCATATGATAGTTTAATATTCATTTCATTTATAATACAGTTTCTAAGAAATTGTAGAAAACGAATAGTAGATGAGCTAGTAGGGGTTCACGCAAATATAGAAGAATCTCAAACTTGACAATATTGAGCTTCAAGAATTAAGCAATAAAATAATTTATAAGTAAGTTCTTCAACGTTGATTTTTGATAAAGACTCTGTAACCGCTTTGAAACTTTCTCCGTGGAATCATTTCTCCATAGAAGAACTCAGGCTGAAAAGTAAAAGCATAACAACACTAATGAAAAGTCAAGAAATGGATAACAATAATTAAGTAAATTAATTACGATCATACTAACCCTTTGTCTACAATTACCACAGTTCGAATTTCGCAATTAGCAAACCTATACGATAGCATACAACATAGGTTCTTGATCAAAAGACTATACTTATATAAATTATCAACAAGTAAATCAATATTGCAAACGATTATATATACAAAAAAAATTATAACCTCTTGCAAAGTTCATGTCTAATTGACTCGTCACAATCGTTTGCGAACACATACAACATATGCTGCAAAACTATGCCATGGCTAACAACTGCGACCTCCTTCTCTGGTCTCTTCCACAACCTAATTAATAATAGAAAAATTCATCAGTTCTCTAACAATATACTGCATGCTAATGTAATTTATACTTCACAAAGTTAAGATTCGAAAGGTTACCATTTCATGAACTCTAGCCCTCTCGCCAAAATCTCTTCTTCAGATTCTCGAACATCGGGTCTCCATAGGTTGTCCTCTTCACTTTCAATCTATAATATGATATATTATATTAGAGAATTACTCTCTTATGTATCTTTAATATATGTTGAGAAAGCTTAATATATATATATATATATATATATATTTTTTTTTTCTAGGGATATGATTTACAAATGAAGGGAAGGTGAAAGAGGATCTTTACCTGGGAGAAATCAATAGTGGGGAAAAGAGATTGATACTCGCTCACGTTTCTTCTCATATCTGGAGGACGAACTCCCTGCGTGTACATATATATGTCCATATTAATTATTTACTTTAAATTTGCGATATTTTGGTAACATGAGTCTGTTTTAATCGCTGATGATTGTATGAGACATTTATGTATCAATCATACATTACGGTCTCGAGCAACCTCAAGAGCCAAAATGGGAGGGCTGCTTATCATATTTGGTTGCTCATGTTCATTTCCAAACACTCCAAACGCGGTTTGCATAGTTCTACATATAAACCGAAAACTTAATCAGTACTCTAAGGCACTATACAAGAAAAAGAATACACATAATATAATTATTTAAAAGCCGTCATTGCTTCTATGCAAATATATTTTACCTCAACAAGGGAGAGGTTACAACTAGCTCAACCCTCTTTAGTAGCCCGCTTGAAACAATGCATTTGCGGAGGTTCTCAACCTTTAGAAAATATCATTATATAAACGAATAGAATGAAATAATAGAACAGCAATAAGTGTTTGGACTTAGATCCTAAATCTGGCCCTAAAAACGATTTAAAACAAAGATAAATGGCCAAAAGGAATTAACTAAGGAGACAAACTAGCATATGTCTTAACTAATCGATCAGTGTGATGCCCGGTCTTGGTCACACAATGGACTCGAGAGATCACGCACCACAACTTAACAATAAGAAGTAAAGGTGCATGAAGTCTGTGACAGCGATTGTGATCAATGTGCCTACGGTCGAATGTTTCGATTTTAAAGTTTACCTGTTGGTGACCATGATAAGTAAGTGGAGCGTCAAAAAGATGAGGAGACAACAATGCATTCCTATCCTTCTCGGCTTCTACATTGTGCAACGCTTGTCCGTGTCTCAACTTGAATAACAGAAAGAATAAATACGATGAATATACGTATCAAGAGAGTAATATTAAGAATCACTTGTGTGTAGTTAATAAGCCTTATATTAATTGTTTGTGACTTACTAAGTGGATGATTTTACAGCTCTCCAAAGGGTACAGGAATCGTGCATCCATGTCTACACATTACAATGTTATTAATAAGAAGCAATCGATAAATTCATTGTAATTAGATGTACATAACACATACATGCATGTATACAATGTATATGTAATATGTCTACATATATGCACATACATCACATTAACGAGGATATTATCAACTAAAAGATACTAGAACAATTAATTGCAAATGTATAACAGACCTATCAAAAAGAAGCTATTAGCAGGAAAATAAGGTCTCAAGGGGTTTTTCTTTGATCTCAAGGTTATACTTAAATGATGATATTGATAGGCAAAATGATGGGCTCTCTTTGATTTATATATACTTGAAAATAGTAAGACCGCATGGGAAAGTCGAATTGTACGTAAACTTTCATGCAATTACAAGTCAAACCTTTTAATTTGACTCATTCTTCGCTTGTATCACTATCACCAATGTTTAAAAACGAGCTATATTGGTTTCAAAGGACCTGAACAATACATTTATCGTTAATTGGCTTTAAACTGAAAGTCCAAGAAACTTAACAAAAATCATTTAATTAATATAACAACAAAGGAAAACGGAAATTAAATACATGTAATCACGATCAATGTAAATATGTAAATGACCCGGCGGATTGTCCTGTATATCTAAAGGCTAAAGGTGTGTGGATTTAAAGAAACCATTATGATCGTGAACATTTCAGTATCTCGTAACGAGTTTAAGTTGTGGTGCGACGTGCATGGTAAGTTTTTAGATTATTTTTCGTATTACCAACTGTACGTTGTGACCGATAACTTTTCAATCAAATTTTCAACTTTAGATCTTAGAGCCAAATATGGATCGAATCACGTAGAAAAGAAAAACAAAATGAGACAAAAGGCATCGTAAAACTCCAAGAGAATATGTTAATATATATTGCCTTGAACTGGAAGGTCATACTCGTCAGTCGTTACTCGTTTAGTTTTGAATTTCAGTCGTTGTTTAGAGATAACAAATTACAGATAGTTTGTCGTGAAATACATGTCGGGATATTTTTCTTTTTCTTCTTCGCATGTCAAAATATTTTAGTTAGAAATGTCTCACACATCTAAATATATATGACTAATCTAAAATCGTTATCTATATATAATAATAATCTGAATAAATGCCACTTATACTTTAATAAATTATATAATTTCAGAATTTTGTAATTATGTCTTTTCATCACATATGGCTGCATTTTTCTTTATTAATATGGTTACATCTTTTTATTATAAATGGTTATATTTTTTATTATAACTGTCTTTTTAAAACTATTTATATTGCTCAAAACTACAGAAAAAAATCATTTGTGTCTAACTTTTACTTTTTTACTATAATGAGTTTATTATTACAATAATTTGTAAAATGATGAAAAGTTTTCTCTCACCATTCTTTTTTTGGGTGCAATCTCTCAGTATTTTTTATATGAAATAAAATCTAATAATTCAAGGTTGTGTTTTTTTTCTACTAAGCCAAACATTTTGTTTTACCTTTTTAAATATATTTTTGCAATTATTCATAGAAAAATCACATATCTTCTAATACATTTTCACCTTGTGTTTTTTCATTTCTACTAATACTTGAAACCGTAATTATATATTTTGAATTATTTATAAAGTTTGATTTTTTCTATTACTTTTGAATTATAAGTGTTAATGTACACTTCGACTATAGCCTAGCCTCTGATTATAATCTTCACTTAATTTATTTGTAAGTTATGCTTTCCTTTCTTTACATAGTTTAACTATATCTAATTATATATTTTTCTCTTAACTTTCTTCTATCTTTTTTTCTTTTTCCAATAGATAACTTTCTTCTATTATTTATATGTGACATTTATCACCTATATTTTAAGTTTATTTTAGGTAATTGTGTAAATAGAAAACTGGAAATTATCCAAATAAATATCACTTACATTTTGATAAGTTTTGTCGTTTCTTCATTATAAATAGTTGCATCTTTTCATTATAAATTATTGTATTTTTTATTATAAATAATTACATTTTCATTACAACTGTAATTTATATCTTTTTAAAATTATTTATATTGTTCAAAACTACATAAAACAAAATTCAATTGGATCTAACTTTTACCTTTTCACTATAATTGTTATGTTTCTCCCACAATGTTTGTCACTAAAGTTATCAAACTTTATTTGTTTTAAGAATCTGCAAAACCAAGTTCAATATGTTTTCTCTCTTCTCTCTCTTCTTTTTCCCCTCTTTCTTTCTCCCCGAACTCGAAATCCAAAAACCATGTTCTTCGATTCCTTCGGCGAGTTTCGTCCGACGGTTATTTCTCCGTATTTTTGGGAGTTTTTCCGCCAGTTTTTGTCTGTTAAGACAATTTTCTGACGGTTTTGCATCCTATACACCCCTCCATTTTTACAAGTCGCCACGGGAAACCTTCTATATATTCTGCAAACAAAACCAATTTCTTTCACAGAGTTTGAATTTCGCCCGTTGCAATATGGGCGACAACTTAAGAAGACGAATGTAGGAAATTGATTTAGGAGTGGATGAGGCCCCAATTTCTTTGCCATAAGCGATTTGCGACCACATAGTGCGATCCAATCGGCATGCAATTTGTGGGATTCTAGTCAATCCAAGGAAGCAGAATATGCGTTCTGTAATTGAGCAACTACAAAGACTTTGGGGC